TGTCTCTCAGCTGCTGCTCAGGGCCCTGCCGCAGAGGCGAGGAGAGGGCGGAGCGCTGGTGCCGCCATGGATTTCTCCAGGTTCTTGGCCGACGACTTCGAGGTGAAGAGCTGGGTGAACGGGGCCTTCAAGGCTGTGCAGCAGGATGCTCCGGGAAAGGTGGATGCCCATGCTGCTACCCTGGTGATGAAGCTACAGCTCTTCATCCAAGAGGTCAACAACGCTGTGGAAGGTGATGCTTCTGGCTGTCGGTCTGTTTAACGTACCAAACGCCAGCTAAGCACGGTGGAGATTTTGGGGTTGATGGCAGTTGTAGTGCTATTACAGCCAGGCATCTCGGAGCTGCCTTCTTTGTAAATTCTACATGTGTCCGTCTGGATCTGCTGTGTCTTTTGTTATTTCTGTCGAGCATTGCTCCCTTTGTAGTAATAATTGAGTGTTCACATGCTTAATTTTATCTATGTGTTGTTACAGGTGTGTTTTAAAGGATGAAAAACGAATAAGCACTTTATATAACTTTTTAAAAAAACTATCACTGGTCTTGATAACTTTGTTCATTCACGCAAGAGTTTTCAGTCTTTTCCCTGTATTGCTTTGTGTTTCTGTAGAAACAAGTCATCAGGCTCTCCAGAACATGCCTAGAGTCCTCCGGGAAGTGGAAGCCTTGAAACAGGAGGCCACATTCCTGAAGGAGCAAATGATCCTTGTTAAAGAAGATATCAAGAAATTTGAAGAAGACACAGCTCAGTCAATGCAGGTAGATTCTTGCCTCACAGAGCATTTATATCTGCAACTTGTAAAATTCAGAGGTTTTCGAACTTGTTCATATTGAGCAATCTTATAAACTCAGAATACGTGAAAATGCTTTCTTAAGTTTTGATAGTAGTAGAGGTGGAGGGGGGCATGGATTGCCTCAGTCTACATTTCCTTACAAACAGCTGATTATGTTTAAAATCAGAGTTGCTGTTACGTAGTTAGTAGCACTGTCCCAATTTTTGTGTGCCCTTGTTAGGATAGGGATGCATAGCGCTTTTCAGGCAAAATCAGTACTGATTATACAAATCCAGAATTTAAACTAACCTTCTGTTATTTGATTTTGGAAGTTGATTTAACATCTGTAGTTCTTTCAGGCAACAGCTTCCTCCTTGTTCCTCCGTGACTTTTTCACACATTTCGTAAAATCCATCCAAACCTAGAAATAACTCCCTTAATGTAAGCATCCAAACAGTCATCTTTTGTTTCAATGGGCAACAGTTCTTCCTCTTTTTCTCAGGTCCTTGTAGAGATTGATCGAGTGAAATCTAGAATGCAGTTGGCTGCTGAGTCGCTCCAGGAAGCAGACAAATGGAGCACATTAAGTGCAGACATTGAAGAGACCCTTAAAACACAGGTAGATACCGCAATGCTCTCTTTGATCTTTGAGCCTTTCCCTTTCTAAAGAAACTGTATTTAAAAGTAGGTTCTTCAAGTGACTTTAAAACATGATCCTGCTTGTAGAATGTCATTGTGGAGCATAGGTGTTAATGCTTTCAAATATCATGTTAAGTAATCATGTTGACTTCTTCTGGCGGCAGGATGTATCTGTGATTTCTGCCAAGCTCACAAGCATGCAGAGCAGCCTGGCCATGCTTGTGGATACACCGGATTACTCTGAGAAGTGTGTGCATCTTGAGGCTCTGAAGAACCGACTAGAGGCCATGGCCAGCCCTCAGATTGTTGCTGCTTTTAATGCTCAGTCTGTAGGTCAGTAAGGCTTGGTGTCATTTACTGTCAGTGCAAAGTTTATCTGCTTTGAAAGGTACAGTGTTGTTTGGGTGGGTAGTGTATGTCCTGAAGGCTCCTGAAGTGGGGCTATGTGCTCTTTCTGGTAGAGCTAGATGCCATGAAATGTTATGTGCTCTGCAGCTGCCTGCAGTCCAGTTTATCTTTGGTTTCTTACCTGCTCTACTTGTGGCCACTATAGGAAACGGAGGAGAACATACACTGACTTCATAGGCCTCAGTGTTTATGTAGATGCTTGAAACAGAGGTGCTGAGGCAGGGCTGTCCTGCTCTTACAGTTCAGTTATGCTGTGGACACCCTCTGAATGGGAAATGCTACTCAAATAGGCTGGAAACCTCCATTTTTGCATTGTCGTAGTGCTGCTGGGCATATCTGTTACAGTTTGGTGTTGTACTCGGGGTGGAAATTTGTTTAGAAATGCTCTGACTCCAGACAGTCCTGTAAAAGTTGCTTTATAAACTCTCCTTTCTTTAGAGCACCCATTTGACATTTTGGTCTGCTCTGTGTGCTCTTCCCTCCCTCTCCTACTGTCATAGTACTTCTGGAAAATGCTTGTTCTATTTGTTGCTTCTCATCTCTGTGCACCTAGAGATCCTATTAAGAATCCAGTGCTATTGTGCTATTGCTATGCAACATTCCCTGGAGTTCGTGTCTAAGTAAAGGCAAGTCATAGCAGTGGGTGACTGCAGACAGCCAGAGGGAGAGAAGTGCTTTTCATGAATTCTTTATCCTTCGCACAGATCTTTCTCTTCTCTCTCCCACTCCTCTTCTGGCTTTTCTTCTTTGCGCAAGCCCCTTTTTCCTTAGGCTGTGCTCATCAACGTTATCAGTTGGTCACATGCCTTCCTTCTGCTGTTGCAGCGCATTGCCTTTTACAGACAGATTCAAGACAAAGGATGATGTTTTGGAATGTTTTATCTGCTTAGGATGAAAGTAGTGGGAGTGAGTTCTCCAGCAAAGAAACCATATCGGTGGAGAAAGCTGCTGGCAGTAGGTGTGCTGATACATGGTAGCAGCTTTTCCTGGGCAGACTCTTCAGAATAATTCACTTTGAGCATTGTTTGCATTCGCTTTTTAAAATCTTTTCTGAGGCATGTTTGTTGTTGTTGTTGTTTTTTCTTCTCACTGAATAGCGTTTTTCTTGTTTTTGTGAAATCGTATTTTTTCCTCATGTCCCAGTTCCTACAAACTCAGTACAAGTCAGTAAATATATCCCCCAGAGTATTTGTATTCTGTGACTTCCACAGTTGCAGAGCGTCTCAGTTACTTAAAACGTTCAAGTTTCATAGTCTCCCTCTGGGTGCTGTTTGAAAAACAAATAAGGTGTATTACTAATTCCTTTGAACCCAAAATGTATTTTGTGGACAGAATTATAGTCATTGCACTTACAGTACAAATCAGACTTTTGGGGAACCTGGTTTTAAAGGCTAAGATAAGAGCTAACTGCACCATTAGTCTGTCTTGAGGCAGCTAGTTTAGGTAGAAGTTTATGAGGAATGATAAAAAGAAAACTGAGTACTTCATGGGGTATATGTTGTGGTTTTGCAGATAGTGCTTGTTTCTGGAAAATAATGATTTCCTTTTAGGGAACGTCCTGCTTTTATCTGCCTTACATGAGAAACATTTACTGTTAAGAAGTTAAATTCATGAATCGTAAGTCTGATATCTATTCTTATTTGAGTATTGGTTTTAGGCAGCTCTGTTCTTTCTTGAGAAGATAAGCAAACAAAAGATGACAGGTCTATCTGTCTTTATGGGCCATGGTGCATATTCCCTTAATAGAAGAATTCTTTTGCTCAGTGTGGGGTATATTCTTTAGTTAGGGTACTGTCTCACCCTCAGCTTTGGGCCAGACCTTTTAACTGTCTGTTATTTATTTTATTTAGATCAGGCAAAAATGTTTGTTAAAGTCTTCACTGAAATTGATCGGATGCCCCAGCTTCTTGCTTATTATTATAAATGTCACAAGGTAATTATTTTTTCTCTTGATAACGTTTTAATGCAGAGAAATGAAAATTGAATTCTTGCTTGACTTAGACTGTAGGGGGTGCTGCTACATCAAGTATTCTGCCTTCCATATTCAAAAGAGGGTGGAATCTGTTCTTTTTCATATTTCATTCCCTCACTTTTCTTTCTGGCTCTTAACAGCTTTGATTACTCCCCGTGTTTTGAGAGTAATTCTCTATTGAGGGCTTTGTGTTCCTCCCTAAAGTAGTCACAGGATATGTGCATTCTGCTTGGTTTCTCCTTGTGCCTTATAGTTGTTCTTGTGTCACTTTTCTTGGATGTGGCTATGTCAGTAATAACTTTATTGCTGCAACTTGCCAGCTGCTGAATTCTGTAAACTCTTTTCAGGTAAGATTAAAGGTTGGAATTCCAGACAGTTCAGTAGTTATAACTTGATCCTCAAAAGTTCTATCATGATTGTGACTTTTGAGGATTAAGTTCAAGGCTAGGGCTTGCCAAGTATTTCAACTATTATGTGGGGCTATCAGTTACAATCTCGTTTTATGAGTAAAATACCAATGTTAATTAAATCTTTGGATCAACTAAAAAGCCTCTAGCTTGATGCTGAAAGTCATTTCCTTCTGAGGTGCTGAATTATAGCAAAGAGTTGTGTTGAAATATGGACAGGGGAGTGAGGATGGGCATTGTGTTTCAGCAAAAGTGATTTGCATGGGAAGTTCCTGGTTCAGAATAACAAAACCTAGATCTCCTGTTAGTTCTGCTCTCAGAACGGTTCTTATTACCCCTGCAGGTGCAGCTGGTGGCAGTGTGGCAGGATCTTTGTCAAAGTGACTTAAGCTTAAATCGTCAATTGACTGAACTGTATGACACACTCCTTGGGACCTGGCACTCGCAGCTTCAGTGGGCAACACAGGTGCAGTCATTATTTCATTTTGGTGTGATGTTCAGGGGAGAACAAGGCTGAATTTCTGTAAAGCTCAGAATAATTCAGTAATACCCTGTGCCCTGTCAATAAAGGATAGGACTTGCAGCCTACATTCAGGTTCTGATCTCAGTCTTGCAGACGAGATTTGATTTCTCGTGCTCTACCTGCAGCAAAGTGGCTGTTTTACTGCCATTAAAAGCTGCTCTATCGCTTTCATCTGTATCTTAAATTAAATCTAATTTGTTGCTGTTGCAAATATGTTCTGTTGCAAGACATTTGAAATGCCTGAATTGCTTTATCACTTGTCCTGGAGGAAGCCCTCAAGGTCATGATAGACTGGCTCATGTCACCCTGTGTGAGGTGCCTGAGGGGTTCTGCTTACGCTCCTTGGAGTCTGTGTGCTTTTTTTCTTACCAAGAATAATGTATGATCCAAAAAAGTTACTGTCTGTCTTTAGTGAAATGAAGAAATTAGTTAATTTTGTTAAGCCTGTGAGAGCCTTCATCCATGAAGGGTAAGAGAGATTCTTATCTTCATGTTAAGAAGCCTGGTGCAAGTGCTGGGCCCATCCTGCAAAGGAGCTCAATGTTTTCTTGAAATAATGTATTTTTTCTGCCTAATGATTAGATGTGAATTACAGGTCAGATGTCAGCTAACGTTTTAGTGGATGCTCTTTGAACTGGGGATTGTGAGAGAGAAATGCCACATGGGACAAAGCTCAATCTTCTGTGCTGCTTCTACTTTCTAAAGAATTGTTTGATGTTTTCTTTTCTGTGCTATCCAGTATCCATGGTCTTTTTGCTGCAGGAGATGAGTGGTGGTCACAGCTTTTACAGTGATAAGAGAGAGCAGAACTGAGAGAATTGCTGGCCAAAGAGTTGCAGTAAAGGGTTGCATAACATTACACTAGGAGAGTTGAGGGTGATGTGTTTAAATAAAAGCTCCCAGCTGATTGCAGTCTTTCTAGCCTGTTTTCCCTTGCTGACTGCTGCCTATATGACCAGTAATTGGGCCTGCGATACAGGACTATTTCTTCATAGCCTGCCCATAGGTGTGTTTTTTTCCAACATGTCTGTTTAAACAGAGGGCTCTGTTTTCAAATGCTGTTTTCTGCCAGGTGGTTGTTTCGGTGACTGTAGCGCCTACTTTCTGCTGAATTCAGTTTGCGACCTATTTTCTAGTTTCTTGGCTGCTGTATTCAAAGCGTAGTTTCAATGGTGAAACAGCTATTGTCCTAGGCTTTCGTAATCAGGCTCTCCTGCATGCTAGTTCAGTGAGGTTTTTGCAGTCTTAGGAAACCTTCTTTTTTGTTTTGTTACCCTTTGCAAAGTTTTTCAGATTTGTTTTGTTCCCTTTTGTTGGGATTTCACATCACCTGAAGAATCTGCCAGTGTACAGAATGTGGTGTTCTTGATCTGTGTATCTCTGTCTCTCCTCAAGAGAGAGAAAATGTATGTTAATTCTTTGCATTGTCAAAAGAAAAGCATCCCCCAAAACAGGGTTTAGCTGATTAAATGTTTTTTCTTGTATTCCTGCAAGGTTTTGAAAGTTCTTGTATAGTTTCTAGTAATGAGGGCCAAATAGCATTAGCTGCTTCTATGCCCATTGTTGCCAGTGGTCCAGTTTTCTGTGCTGGGCGTGAAGAAGTCCGTGTGGAGCTGCTATTACTCTCTCCCCTAACTCTTTACTCCCAGGTTATGGCAGCCTGCCTCTCTGCTGACAGCATTCACAAACCTGTCTGCTCTACCTCTTCCGTCCTGCCTGTTTCAGGAGCCCAGATCTCTGTGGCAGGTGCATAAGGGAGACTCCAGTGGACGTGGTTGCCCCTGGGAAGTGGTGCTGCTTGTGTGAAGGTTGTTTCTGCCAGTGGGAAGCAGCACGCACTCAGGAGGGGCGAAGAAGTTATCAGCCTCTCACCTGACAGAACTTGCTCAGTTTGGAGTAGGACAGTTTGCCGGTGTCTTTGCTGAAACAGTGACGTGCAGGTTGTCTGTTACGGGGATCTGTTTGGAAGCTATCTGCCGCTTATAGCGCTCCTCTGAGATAGCAAGTGCTTTTGCTAAAAAGCTTTTCTTTTACTATAGGTTTTCAAGAACCCCCATGAAATTGTGACCGTGCTGTTGATTCAAACGCTGGGAGCCTTGGTGCCTTCCATCCCTGTCTGCCTCAGCACTGCCATGGAGAGAGTAGGCCAAGAAACCAAACTGAATAAGCTGCTGGAGCTCTATGATGCCACTATCCACTTCGCAAAAGGGCTGGAAATAGCAATGCTGCCAAACCTGAGTAGGGTTCTTGCATTGAATTTTCTCATACTGTTCTGTTTTGTCATCACCTTTGTAAAGTTCCGTTGTGCTATTTTGTTTTGTTTTTACGTGGAGGGTGTGTTTATTTCTTTTATAGTATTTACCAGTTATGGTAAATGCCAGTTATGTAGCATTTGTGCCTTTGTGTGTGTATATAAGTGTATATCTTTCACTGAATATATTGACACAATACTGAATGAGTTTACTGAAGCAAAACTGTTCTAGCCTGCTTGCTGCCTTGGGTAAATAATATTTAGCACTTTTCCTTTTACAAGCATTAGTATATCTTCTATCTAACGGATGAGGAAATGTCTCTAGGGAAGCTATCTGTTAAAGACCTTGTGAAAGATCACAAAGAATAAAAGTTCAGGAGTTCCCTGGAATTAAAGCCGCACCTTTCTAGACAAGAGAAGGCCTGCTTGAGAGCTACTTCCACTAGATTTTTAAATTTGACCTGAAGTTTTTCATGCTGATCTTAAATTATGCTTTAATCAAAAGAGAATGCAGGGCCAAACGTTATTTCTGAACTGTGTAGTTTATTCCCTCACAGCATATTAGATGCTTGATTCAAAAACTAACCTATGCTTTCCTTGCCCTACAAAGTTTGTCATCTCATTTGGGTCACGGCTTGATGAATGAATTCCGCAAGCCACAAAGTATCGAGGCCCTATGTTTACGTAGTTTTATGCCCAGTGTAAATTGTTGGCTATTTATAGTGTTTTACTAATTTGGTTATGCCCCTTCAAAGACAAGGTATAGGAAAATCCTAAATTAAAGCTAATGGAGCATTTCTAATGCTATGTTTCCTGTGTTTGGTTCTCTGTAACATTGTCTTGAGCTGTTTAAACCCAGATTCTTACTTGATTATGTAAATTGCGATTGCTAGGCAATTTCAGGGAGTGGGACTCTCACTCTGTCTTTTTTGTTTTCTTTGTGATTGACTGTGCACTCTTGACAGTCATTTTCTATCCTTGGCTTGGCTTAATTTGTGTTTGGTAATAGAAATGATTAAAAAGAACTTGGAAAAATAATGTCAACTTCTAGAAGATGATGGAGTAGTAAAACAGCCACTGACTTGTTAATTGGATTTTTAAAAAAGTTGTATTCTTTATTCATGTCTCTTGTGTTGCGAGGTGAGATGTTTGGGAACAGAAGTATCTCAAGAATGGAAGAGCCAGGTGACTCAGAAGCACAGGGTCAAACTAGTTCTTAAGTGTTTATGTGGGGGAGGGTTCAGTTATGAATCATAGGATAATTCAGGCTGGAAGGGACCTCAGGAGATCATCTAGTCCACTCTCCTGCTCAAAGCAGGGTCCACTATGAGGTCAGACCAGATTATGCAGGGTTTTGTCCAGTCTGGTCTTGGAACCTCTGAGCATGGAGACTGCACAGTCTCAGGACCTCCTGTTCCTGTTCCACTGCTTGACTGTCCTCGTGGTGTAAGAGTTTTTCCTTATATCCAGGATTTGAAGTAATTCTGGTTTGGTACTAGTTGGAGTTTGGCAATCTGATTCCTGGTCTGGTTTGACAAATAACGGTTCAGATGTATTTTTAGTTTGGGTTTGCTGCAGCTCCCGGCTCAACAGAATGGCAATGAGATGCTAAGTTCATGGTTTGCGTTCAGCTCTGTTGATGAACACTGTGAATGAGTAGTCAGTCCTAAGTGAAATGAGTTTGTATCAGTTATTTTAAGCGTGGACCCGGCTCTTTGGTAAATGAGAATTGCCCCTGTTTTAGCTTGTTTCAGTTACATGTTCACTTCTCAGATGGTTTCCGTATTTTCCCTCTAGTGTAGGTTGGAACGTTTGATAGACTTTGGTCAACCAGGCTGTTTTGGAGCAGTTTGTGATAATTCTGCTGAGGCACTTGTTGAGGTAGAACATCTTGGTTTTAAGAAGCAAGCAGAGATAATAACCTTGTTTAAAAAAGAATTTGTGTAGTTGAGACTTGACGCTGTTGGGCTACATTCCAAGTTTATGTAGGTAGCGTGCTCTAACTGAAGAAGTCTTGCATGTTGCTTAAAACAAGGTTTTTAGTAGCACATTCATTTATTTTTAAACTAACCATCTGATTCTTTGTAGAGGAGCAGAACCTGGTAAAAGTAACGGAACTGGTAGAAGCAGTGTATGGTCCATATAAGCCCTACCAACTTGAGTATGGAGACCTGGAAGAAGAAAATCTCCTCATTCAGATCAGTGCAGTGCCCTTGGTAATGTAGCAGTCTCTGTTGTCCATGTAGTGGGAGGCAGTGGCGGGGGAGGTCTGAAGCTACTGAGAACTACAAGGGTCTTTGTCACAGTTATTGCTCTCTTTTCTCCTTTAATTTTTTGATACTGTTTCCTGTTTACAGTGTCTCTTGATACTATTGCTTTAACTAAATTTTGCTTCAGAAATAGTTAATTTCAGCAGTGTTAATTAATAGTTAATTTCAGCTCACAGGTAACCCCTTTCTTCTGCTCCTTCACCCAGTAACCAGCACTGTGTGCATCTGCTGGAAAGAGACTTTACCAAAACATTGCTATCAATCAAGAGACTGCCTCAAGTTCCCTAGAATTTATTAAGAGCAAAGTGGGAGGAAAGTCCTTTGTGTGGAAGATTCTGCTGTTGGAATAATAAGACTGTTTTTACTTGAAGGTCTTGTAAATATAGGATTGGGCAGCCTGACTTTTATTTACGATCACTGTGCAAGGGTATGGAAAAAACGGAACTGTTCTCCCTTAAATGCCTTACAAGATTGCAAGAGGAAGAAATGTTAGACAGTGTTTTTTTAAAGAGTCGGGACACTCACTGAAAGAAGAGTTGGGCTTAACCCTTTTGTTATTGTTGTTTAGGAGCATTGGGAAGTAATTGACTGCGTCCAGGAACTGAACCATTCGGTGAACAAACTCTTCATTCTGGCTTCTGGAGCCATCGACAACTGCATTAAACTCACTGATGGACTGGGAGTGTGTGGGCTCCTTAAGGCCCTGAGAGCTCTGTTCACAAAGTAAGGCGCTTCTAGTCACACCGTTGCTTTTATCCTAAGAGGGCAGCAAACATTCAGTTAGCGGCCAAGGACTTTGTAGTTTGTGAAACACGTCTGAGTGCTGAGAGTGTCTATAACCAGTATGTAGGAATCATCTGATATCCCCTTCTGTGCTTAATGCTGTCAGGGACTATTTCTTAGTGGAGAAAAGGAAGTTTTTTATGGCTAAAGGGAAGACTTCTCTCAGCTGCTTTCTATTTCAGTTGGGCTGATTTTCCGTTCATAAAAAAATACTTTTGGAGGGAAAAATGTTTCTAAGAACCTAGTACAACAAAGGTGAACTAGGCTGCTGAAAGTAGAACTTAGTGGGGAAATATGTACTTACTTGGACAAGCGATCTCAACATTCAGAATCTGCCTGAAGTGCGAGATACCTTAGTGAGTGAGGTTCATGGCAAGACCTTGTCTTAAAAAAGTATAATTCACAACCCACATTATAGTACTGATTACCTCCATATTCTTTCCTGATATAAAAAGAGCTGCTCACAAGGTATAAACCAAGCTGTTACCTTGCAGCCCTGTGGGGATAGGGGAAGAGGAAGGTATACTTCTCTGATCTCAACTGCTTTATAGGTAATTACATAGCAAGGTGCATGCCTCCAGCTTATGGGCATTATGCTTAAAAAAAGGGGGAGGACAAAGTGTTCCTTTTTATATGTGTTCTCATCTGGGGAGTAGCTGAGAAAACAAACTCACAAGAGATTGTTGTCCTATGTTCCTGGAGTAAGAGCCAGCTGATGTTGGAGCAGCAGTAGCCTTCTTAACTTTGTCTGGTCTCTCCTAGGAGACGTGATTAGTGTAGCGATAACAAAATGTCTTACTCATACCTCATCATAGGAGAGAAGGGTTCCTTGTTACCCATACGCAGCAAATTGAAGTAGCCACACCACATCAGTTACTTCTAGTGTAGGCTTGAGTGAGTTGCAGCTGGTCAGTTCCTCACATGCATTTACTTGTACTGGAAAAACTAGTTCTCTTCTGAACTATTCTTCTTTTAATGTCTCCGGTTCATATTTATCCCTTATTGAGGACTGAATGAGCAAGTCACAGGAAATGCAGTTACGCTGCTCTCCAGCCTATAGTTTCACTCCAGTGCCTGTTGTTACTCCATTTCTCCGTATAGGTATACATCTGACTTTACAAATGCATTGCAGTCTATACGAAAGAAATGTAAACTGGATGATATCCCATCAGATTCACTTTTCCAGGAGGACTGGACTGCTTTCCAAAACTCTATCCGGTAAACGGGCATATTTGCCTGCTTCGGTACTGATATTTGTATGAAAGGTAGAAGGGAATTACCTGGGGTCAGTTTACACTCATTCTGGGAGCAGAATGCAGGGCTAGCTTCAGCGCTGCTGGGAGCGTTGGTTATAGTGGCTGGGTTTCAGATTGCTGTGAGCACAGTAAGCGCTATGAGGCTCACCCCATGTTTAGAGTAAGACTGCATGTCATATCACTTGAAGTATCAGCAGCTCTTAGAATTCTTCCCAGTGACGCTGAGCTGACCTTAGCCATGGTGGCGATAGGCAGCATGTGGATGAGGCTGTCGGGCAAAAAATCAGCGGGAGGATGTGATGAAATGGATTCAGAGTTAATAGCCAAATTAAAAAATGTGTCCCCTGTGGGGACATTGTTGTTGTTTTTTAATTTTCTGAAAGTTGTCTGAGATGGGTAGTCTAGGGGGTCTGGCATTATCTACCTCAAATTTTACAACATACATTTTTGCCTTATTCTTTCCCAGAATAATTACTACTTGCGGTGAGCTGCTTCGTCAGTGTGGAGACTTTGAGCAGCAGCTAGCCAACAGGTAAACATTGCTGAACTTACTACATGAGCTGTTAACACAGATATCAAGTCAAAAGAAGACAAACCCCAAGGTGCTTTCAGCATGTAGACCGCTGAGGGAGCACAGAGCCACTGTGCTTTAATAATTGGCAGGAAAGAGTAGAGCGATGCAGAGTGCACAGCCTCTGAATCTAGTTTGTGGACTGCCAAGTCTTCAGTGTAACAGCAGCCAATAAAACATGACAAAAAAGTCGAGGATGCAACAGTATGAAATATTACAGGATTATTAAGTGAAGGTACAGTTGTGAAGCTTTTTTTTCCTGTTGTTGTTTGTTGTTGTTGCCTGGAGGCACAATTGTTTAGGAATAGTCTGTGAATTTTTTTTTCTTTTTTTCTTTTTTTGGTCCTCTTCTCTGTCTCTTGAAACCTCAGAGATGGGTCACAGACTGGTTCACATAGTCCAGGGTCCAGTGCTCTGAGATAGCGCTAAGAAACCTTTTTCTTGGACGCCTGGCTGGTGTGCCGTATTCATCTGCTGGGCATCAAATGGACTGCCAGAATGGGGTCAGGAAGGAATTTTCCACTAGATCGAATTGGCAAGATTCTGACTTCCCTTGTGACACGGGGCATAATTCATACACTGACATGAATCTAGGTGTGCCTCAACTGATCAATTCCTTGTAACTTGAGAAGCCTCAAGCAGGGGCAGCATGTAGATCTTTTGTTATTGTAAGCAGTGCACTTTTCAGCCTCTTATACATCAAAATGCTTTAGTTTAACTTGAGTGCCTGTGGTTGGTTTAAGACAGTGGCCCGCAGTACACAGGAGGATGGGTTTGTTCCATATTTTGTAAACTTTCTAAGAGCGCAGTCATCCTTTTTTCAGCTCAATATTTGGGTAGTTTTCAGTTGCAGGACAAGAGAAATGAGACTTGACTGTAATTAGTGCCGGCCACTGAAGGATACTCTCTCCCTTGGAGGAACTCATAGGTATCATTGACATTTAAAGGCAGCTAGCAGTTCTTGAATAGTTAAAACTTGCAGCTGTTTTTCAGTTTTTTTTAATTCCCTGCCCGAGGAGAATTAACCTGGTGCTGAATAATTCCTCCCCCACCCCCAACTCCTTGCATCCCATTTGAAAGTTTTGGTCACCTTGTGGAAGGCGGGAATTTTCCCTAGTAAAGCTTCCACTAGCCTCCACTGTTGGGAGCTCTGCTGCAGATCTGAGGACCAGCTCCTGGCAAAGTTTCCATATAGGAACAATTATTCTTCTGCCACAAGCACCTGCAAAGCAGTCAGGACTACCCTGGGTACTGTTTTACAGGTGCGTTAAGCTGTTCCAGGTCATTGCTGTCATTGAAAACAGAGGTCCTTTCTTTCCCCCTACTCACCTTGTGTGGTTTTGCTTCTTCCTTGCATTGATTCCAACAATTTTCTGTAGCTACAAGGTGAGCTGGATCAGTTGGCTGATCTGACCGAAAAATAACCTTGTGTGAAGAGGAATGCTTTTCAATCAGATTGACATACTAACAGTCTAAATCTGTCTGCACAAACACTGGTGGCAGTGCAAAGGGGAAGAGGAAGTTGTGGGGCAGTAGCATGGCTTCTGGTCTTAAGCTGTTCACAAAACCACATTCAGAGCTACCTGATGATGAGACCACACAAAAGATTTGTTCCCCATGTCTACTGTTTCTGAGACTCCAAAGGCCATAGTAACTAGTCTGTAGAGGCTTAATTTGCAGTGCGTAAGGGAGTGCCCTAACTCTTACCCTATGTTCTTCCCTTCTGGTCCTGAAGCTATGGAAATCTGGTTTAAAAACTTTTTTACCAGCATCTAGAACTGCACAGTCTCTTTGCAGTGCTTTGTGCTAGCAGGTTTTTGCTGTAGATTGATGTAAGTGGCTGCTCATAAGGATTTTCCTGTCTATGGAGGGCTCATTGGGCCTTGTGGTTCCAGTTGCTCTCCAGGAAACTGTAGAGCAATCTGTGACACTGTCTCTTGGCAGTAGGAGGAAAGGTGTGCAACTGAATGACCTGTTTCCTTACAGGATAGGGTAGAGCAATAATCACAGGCCAAATCAAGAAGTGACTGAGTCAGAGAGGCCCCAATGGCTCCAATCACTTCTTTCTTTCTCTCACTTAAGTTGAGATGTGGCCGTAGGTCTTCTGGAAGCAACATGAGGCACCAGTGCTGTTTTCAGATAACTTTGTTGGTGACTTTATCTACTTGTTCTCAGGATTTTATCAACTGCTGGGAAGTATCTCTTGGACTCCTACAGCCCTTGTAGCTTTTCTGGCTTTCAGGATACCAGTTCCGCAGAAAAGAAGAGCTCTGTCAAGAACCCCTGGCAGGAATACAATTATCTTTTGAAGGAGAATCCGTCTGAGTATGCCAGCCTTATGGAAACACTTTATACTCTAAAGGTAGCTTTGCTGTCCAGGAGAACCTGCCTCTGTAGCAGGCTGCTATTGGGTCTGCATTTGGTAGATGGGGATTGGATTCCACCTACAGCCGGATTACGTTTCATCCTGAGCTGCAGTCTTTAATGGGCTATGCTCTGAATCTTCCACAGAGACACCAGTCTGCTGAGAGAATGAAATGTCAAAACCCAGGAAGTCTGGGCTCATTTCATGTCTCCCCAGAACCTGGCTGTGTCCTTTGAACATGCCCATATCAGCTCAGGGGAGAGACATTCTATCACAGAAGGATATATGGAAGATTATATTGAAGCCATCTCAAATTCCAGGCCCCGTCTGCTGGCTTCTCAAGACTTTTTGCCACTTATATTCTGCTGCCATATCCATCCTGAAGTATAATTCTGCAAGATCATTCATGCATGTATCTGTGAACGGGGTCGAATGACTAGTTAACTAATCTTCTTGTGGATCTAACTTATGTATGTTTGCCTTCGTCAGTCACTTAGGTAAAGTCAAGGTTATGAGTTCCGTCTCATTTTCTCAAAGTGTTTTTTAATTCCTTGTGCACTTAATTTACATGCAACTTACGCAGCTCTGCTTTCAGTATTATGTGCTTGACTTTTATACCTTTGCTAAATAATAAAGTTCTATTATATTTTTTTCTCCTTAAGTAGAACCCTTAATTTCATGCAGGGAATCATTTAGTTGTGCCCTTTGAGTGAAAGGTCATATTTGTGTTTCTTCTCCTTCGGCAAATGAAAATACATTACCTGAAGTTTCTTTTAACGTTTCCCTGACAGAGTATAATAAACTTCTTGTGATTTTTGCCCACTCTTTTCTTCTGTGCCAAAAGAAGGAATGAAATTCTGGGCATGTGGATTGTGATTTAATTTCTGATCGCTACTAGGGAGGTTGTAAAACAGGTGTAGTGCCATGTGGAACTCCTATCTTCCCCAGGGGCATTCCGGTTGTAAGGCAGTTTTGCCATCTTCTCAGCAAGTTTCGTTATATCTAGCCTGTACTAGGGCCTGGCATGGCAGGAATGTGATGATGATTCTTTTTCCACATTTCAGGGAGCCATGTGCAGTTAGTGTCTTGAATACCTAGTTGGAGTAGGGCTTTCCGAAGGAAACATGTGCCATTGCACAGGAAGGCTCTTTAGTGTTAGGATGGCCTAATAAGGACCTCTTTAGGGATATTAACATAGTTTTTCTGTGGTCAGTTTAATAGCATCTGTATGTAAACATTTTTATGTGCCTTTTAGGACAAAGGTACAAGTAACCACAACCTATTGTCTTCATCTCGATCTGCTCTAAGCCGCCTCAACCAGCTAGCACACCACTTGGCTTTTGATTCTGTTTTTCTTCGCATCAAACAACAGCTCTTACTCATTTCTAAGATGGAGGTGAGTAATGGTTACACTGATCTGAGATCTGAACAGTGATAAGGTTTACCCATGGGATACCTTAGGGCAGAATACAGCTCAATGCTGCTCACCTTTCTCCTTTCCAGAATATCAGAATATTTCCCTCTGGTATCACCTTTCTTCCATGAGGTGTGCTCAGGAAAAGTTTACCTTGCTCCCTCTACAGCAGTCACAGCAGATGACTGTGTTGGCAAGCTCTGCTGTTTGTCTGAGATACGTTTTTTTCTGACCTGTGTGAGCGTGTGTTTTCTGTAAGGAGCTGCGTGGACAGGAGAAGCAAATCTTTTACTGTCTGTGATCTCTTTTCTTAGAAGTCTGTGGATAGTCACAGATCTTGGCTCTAGCTGACCCTTTCTCAGAATATCCACAGACTTCTTGCTCCAGAACTTCATAGATTGGTTTGCGTTTTTTGCCTTACAGGGATGGAACTCCAGCGGCATTGGCGAGACCTTGACAGACGACCTGCCAAACTTCAGCCTGACTCCTCTGGAATATATTAGCAATGTAAGAGCATGCAAGGATAGTCTCTAGAAGCCCAGTGCTGCACGAATCTCCTCTGTGCTTGGCCAAGTTTTTATAAAATCATAGTATTTGTTGAATTTGTTAATTCAATGCTTAGACATGTTGTCAGTGACCCAGTCCTGACCAGTCTGGTTGTGCCATTCTTTGTAGTTTTTAAGAAGTCATTGTCAAATTCTGGAATAGATAGCAAAAGAACTTTGGGAGCACGAGGAAAGTGTCCTCTCCATTAAACTGCACTATTTGCAGTATTAATTCTTATAACAGGGTGGAAAATGCCAGCTTCTCTTTGTAGTGGTAAATACTGAGCATGTCTTAATAATGCAGCTCATGCAGCAGAGATGTCCCTGTTATGCATGTTGGAGTGATTTAATCATACTGTGAATTTAAAAATGACTTAAGCTCTTCCCCTTCTAAAACCCATGTGACTCACTGGTTTCTTCTTCTGTTGGAATAACAATAAAATCTCTTTCTGGTACTGGGATGTCTTGAGTGAAAAAGGAGAGTGAGCTGTACTACTTTCTAACTAGGTACTCTTCAATTCTGTGCTGGTGAAGAGCATTAAAATTGCTCTCCCGTTCTCTTGGTTGCTGTTTCACTGCCTAATTTGCAGTTCAGATAGTAATATTAGCTGTTATTATTCTCTCAATACAAAGTATAATTTGGCAAAAAAAGTTTTTAATGTTGCTGTCATTCTGTGCATCAGACAGGGAACAGATGTTTTCAAGGATAGGCTGCAACTAAAAGCCTTTAGGATTTTAGTTTCCTCTAGCGTATGGCCTAAAAACTGTTATACTTTGCTTTTTGAGCCTCTCTAAAAAATTTACTTAGAGTTACAGCACAGGTTTTTGTTACTCTGATTGTTTCAATGACTGCTTATCTCACCTCCTGAAAAAATATTTTTTGTACAAAGTGTAATGATCAGCAAAAGACTTTGTTTCTGAGCTACTGTAGGTTAGTGTGTTGCTGTAAAGCTCTGCTTTCAAGTTTGGATTATTGTAGTTGACTTTTTCTTCATTTGTCCAGTTACTTGGCTCTTTTGTGCTTTTATTCTAGATTGGACAATATATTATGTCACTCCCTCTCCACCTCGAGCCATTTGTCAGTCAGGAGGATTCTGCTTTGGAACTGGCATTACATGCTGGAAAACTGCCTTACCCCCCAGAACAAGGTAGGGTGAAACCAGGGAAATGAAGTGTTTGGGGGAAAGGTTTCACATTTTGGCATTACGTGGATGTGATGGGTTCTGGTAAGGAAGCTGTTTGAGGTCCGTTTCCTGCTGTTTATTCATGCTGTTTCTTCCAAGAGTCTTCTGCTGATGGCCATGAGGACCCTTAAGATAACTGAAAAAAGTTGTATTCATTTCATTCAAACCAGAAGCTTTAGTTCAGCCTATTTAAGACTGGTGATTACAACGCTGTGGGTTGAGGTGCCAGACCTAAAGTATTATTGTTTCATAGCTGGAGCAGCGTTTAGTTTATTAGGTGCTTTCTCAGAATCAGCATGAGTATCAGCGTGGTGACTTGTTAGATTGGCTAACCCTCTTGTTTAATGTTCCCATCCATTTAAGACAAAGACCCCACATCAGTGATTGTACAGTGTATTTTTATCTCCAGACAGTCTCTAATCTGGGATTCTTGAAACAACTATTGTCAAGAACTGACACAGCATGAAGCTTTTCAGCTCCCAGAACCTAGTGAAATCTGGAGAGAAGCTCATATAATCTTAATTCTACTTTTATTATGTGTTTATATATATATTATACTTATGGCCATCATCTCAGTTAAATAATCATATTTTATATATATATATATATATATGAAACCTTGCAGTCTTCCATGGGCTTGTTGAGAATTGCAGCCCCTTCACTTCTTGCTAGGAAAAGAGAAGCCTTTAGTTCCTGTCCTCAGAACCATTATTCACTCCCAGGAAGGGTAGTAATGCTGCTTACTTGTAAACATCTTATTCCTTTTCCTCTTTTGCCTGAAAATCCAGGAAGAACTATTGTTATTCCCTATGTGCCATGCTAACCTGGGTCTCTCTGCCATAAAGGCTAGGAGCCTAAGGTCAGAAAATGGTCTGTAGTCTGTCTTGCTTTAGGATAGGTTTTGCATCTTTGAGAACTGCTTTTCTTAAGGGTCCAGTCACGTTTTCCAGTCTCCATAGTCAGATTCTCAGTAAGGACAGAATTCTGAAATGCTATTTCATTTAAATTCCATTTTCATCCTTTGTTATCTCCAGTTGAAAAACCATTAGAGCTCCACTGCTGCTACTATTGCCACTTGTGACTCTCGTGAGTAGAAACCCATCACAATGATTAAAACCCATGTACTGAAAGAAACGCAGTGGGTGCTGCGGGTGGCTGCTCTTTAAGAGACAGCTGTGGCCCTGTTGCCTCTTCAAAACTTTGTCCCCAGAGCACATTTCATTAGACCTGGGGAGTTCTTTCTGGATGTCTTTCTTGCAGCAAGCTGAGTTTTAGCTCATATTCATTCTTCAGATGACTACCCTTGCTTATTGTGTCATTAATCCTGTTGCTGTTAACAACAGTGGCTACATAATGCTTCCCAGCAGGTTGGCAGCATACCATGGTTTTCTGTGGTTAATCTCTTCTCAGTGTTTATTTCCTCTGACAGTCAGGGCAGCATGGAGCTTGGTATTTATAGTCTTCCTGAACCTTTCTGAGAATACACCCTTTAGTTTAGGTTTTAGCATTAATTGTTTTGTCATCTTAAAACATTTACATGTTTAATAATTCATTAATTTTCAAAACATTGATGAACACAGAATGCCTTTAACACTGGAAAAAGCTATGCATCTTTGTCATTTGAGTAGTTTGTAAACTACTCCTGGAACAGACTACGTCCTAGAGAACATGCTAGGCAGCACCCGTGATCCCAGCCTGATCACCTGTCATCCCTTTAGAAATTAGTTACCTGGATGAGTATAGAGGGAAGTGTTTTGGTTCTTGAGCTATCTTTCAATGTTATATAGTATCAAGGAAGATAAATTACAGCTTTGATCACTTCAAAAACAGCTGACAAACTGTCTGAATACCAGTACCTTAATGTTTTGTTGAAGAAATTGTTAACCATTTATGCGTTAATGCCTGAGGACTGGAAGAAAGCCAGTGTCACTCCAGTCTTCAAAAAAGGGCAAGAAGGAGAACCTGGGAAAATACAGGCCTGTCAGCCTCACCTCCATCCCTGGAAAGGTGATGGAACAGCTCATCCTGGAGGTCATCACTAAGCATCTGGAGGACAAGAAGGTGATCAGGAGTAGTCAGCACGGATTCACCAAAGGGAAATCATGCTTGACCAATCTGATAGCCTTCTATGACGGAATGACTGGTTGGGTAGATGAGGGGAGAGCAGTGGGTGTTGTCTCCCTGGACTTCAGCAAGGCTTTTGACGCTGTCTCCCATCACATCCTCCTAGGTAAACTCGGGAAGTGTGGGTTAGATGAGTGGACAGTGAGGTGGATTGAGAACTGGCTGAATGGCAGAGCTCAGAGGGTTGTGGTCAGGGGCACAGAGTCTAGTTGGAGGTCTGTAGCTAGCGATGTTCCCCGGGGGGGGTCAGTCCTGGGTCCAGTCTTGTTCAATGTATTCATCAGTGACCTGGAGGAAGGG